GATTGGTGTGATATTTGCCAACTTCCAGTCCTCTGTTTGGTGTGACATTTGCCAACTTCCAATCATCTGGGACCTCCCCAGGGAGCCAGGACTGTCAGTAAATGATGGAGAGAGGCTTGGCCAACTCTTCTGCCAGCTCCCTCATCATTCTGGGATGGATCCCATCCGGTCCCATAGATTTGTGAGGATCCAAGCAGCTAAGCAGATCTCTAGCCATTTCCTCTTGGATTTCAGGGGGATTGTTTGGCTTCCTATCTCTGTCTATCAGCTCTAGAGGCCAGTTGTCCTGAGGACAACCTGTCCTAGTCTTAAACACTGAGGAAAAGAAGGTGCTAAGTACCTCAGCCTTTTCCTCATTTTGGGTCACTGTACTGAACAAATTGATTAGTGCTGGTGGCTACTTCTGTACTCCCTGTCTGAGAACAAATACAGAGGGAGATCCAGAGTAGATAATTAGAGAAATTTTTTCCCTGGTCAAGCACTGGAATGGGTTGCCCAGGGAGGTGGTGGAGTCACCATCCTTGGACGTGTATAAGAGGGATCTGGTGCTGGAAGATATGGTTTAGGGGGTTACAGTGGAGTGACAGGTTAACGGTTGGACTTGATCATAAAAGTCTATTCCAACTTTGATGATTCTATGATTCTAAACTCAGCTCTTGGTCTGTATGTTTATAAGCCAATGGCACACTCAGCTTTGTCTTTGTGGGCTTACACCCATAAAGCAGTGATCCAAGAGGAGACATCCTCTGGAGAAGATGTTTGCTTTCCATATAAACAAAAGTCTGACCCAAAGTTCTTCAGGTGGTCCATGTGTTTATAAGCTATTTGCAGGATTTGCTATGATGTTGGAGATGGCATACGTCCTCAAGTTCTTTTTTCAGAAAAGCAAGCTGTCTTGCAACCTAAAATAATGAAAATATTTTATCAAAAATTAAAACTCTTTGCACTATAAACTTTCAGGTTCCTGTGCAGCTATTCTGATCTTCTTCCTTTCCAATACCTAGTGCTAAGAAACACCTTGCCCTAAGAGAGAATGAAGCTTTTCCTGAAAGAATTTGTTCTGGGATTAACTGCCACAACAGCCAAATAATATTTGCTAGGATTTGTTCAAATTAACAGTAATAAAATCTGTACCCAACTGTGATAGTCTGAGACATCAATAACAATATATCAAGTCTTGGTACTATGTTGCTTGTAACACTTGTATGAAGTGCAAAATCTTGAAGCCTAATTGTAAGAGCTTTGATAGTACAGATGCATTTCAAAATGTAAAGATCAAACCCATCATATATGGGTTACTCATGAGGCAGGTGGAAGTAAATAGGATGATAATTTTTAAGCAGTTAATACTCTACAGTGCAAGACTATTCCCCTACTGGAATGATATTTTGCACCACTTGGAACCTTTCATTCAGAGCTCTCAGCACGTTACAGTGGGAATTAGACACTATTTTGAGGTTTAAGGCACAACAAGGTTCAATAGTCTGGCTCTGCCACTGTCTCTTTTATATCTATAAATAGAAATAGATAGACAAACACGTATAATTACATATATAAACTGCTGGGGTTTATATATATAAATGTAAGAATCCAGCAGTTGCTCTTGCAGCTTTTCTATACTTTAACCATACATTCAATGACTAGATGACTGCTGAAGCTGAAGATCAATGGAGAGGACACCTCCCTCCAACATGTTACAGACACGTGCAATAAAGGGATCATACCTCATTCAGTGAGTCCTCCCAAGATGAATCACAGTGACTGCCATTTGCCTGAATGTTTAAGATGATATTAGGAATCCAATTTCCTGGAACAATAAAGCTAGTGATCACTTAACATTGAATGAAGGAGCAGAAAGCTAAGTGGGGATGTGAGTTGTTTACGGATAGGTAAGTCCTTCTGTCTTGACAGAATTTCTGTATCCTTTAAAAACAACATATAGGGGTTTGCTGGATGAACTACTTGTATTTCTGTTAACTGCATACTTGAAAAATATTTGTTGATTTAGCGTGTTTGTTCCCTCTGAGTCTTTTTGGAAATGCTGCTTTTCTCTTCCTGCTGTCCTTTCTCAGCCACTGCAGTTGTGCTGCTAGCAGAGACGAGGCATAATGAAATTCAGTAAAGGTGATTAAAGACATCTTTTGGTACTGACAGTAAAAGCCTCTCCCCAGATTAGACAGTACTAGAAAACAGTGAGGCTTGAATGTACCTTTTGCTGGAAACGGTCCCAAAGGTTGTACAAATGAATTAATTTAAGGAGGAGTCAATCTCTGTGGTAATTACGTGGCTATTAATATTTGGTTTAGTTACCTCCATATATCTGTAACATCCTTATCCTTACCTTTCTTACTTGTTCTGCTGGCATGATCTTGGGCAGCCTTCCTAAGTTTCTGAACATATTGTAGAACTCCCAGTAGTGGTATCCGTTGATCATTTTCATGTGCCGTGATAAAAACTGAAGGATAACACTAAGATTAAAAACCAAAACCAGTTAAATACTTGACAGCTGGGTTTTGTCATAGAGTAACAAATTTGTCTCTTATTGTACAACTTGTTAGGGTTTATCTACAAACACATCTTTTACATAATTACTCTCAAAAAAGCATTTTTTTACTCTAACTGCAAAAAGTATTTTGGTCTGAAAAATTACTTCATAGTAGGGGATCAGCTACTTGCAAAGGTCATCAAAAACATCTTCTCCCCATTGGTAAAGGTCTGACACCTGTCAGCTTGCTGATGATTGCAAAAAAAAAACAACAAAAGAGTAACAATCATGCAGTGGTTCACCTTAGCACAAATCGTTGAGGTTTATTTTTGCAATCTTTCCGGACATAAAATTAGTTGGTTTTAAATAGTAAGATTTTACCTAATGCAACTATGCAACACAGCTAACACATCATTTCAAACAGAGAAAGATTTCCCCTGAGATGACAATGTCAAAGCTATAGCTCCTTTTCCGTTTCAGTGTTGTTTCCTCCTGTGACAAAGTCTGAAAAAGCCACAGAAACCCCCCACAAACGGAGAAGGTATTTGGCATGTTGAGGTTTGTCAAATGACAGAGTAATCTATTACTTCCTTGGGAGTACTGTAAGAAAAGCAGGGCTTGAAATCTATTGATTATTTAGGAGAAGACATTTGGCTAATTTCAGTAATCACTTGTGACTCTAAATATTCCTAAGATTATTACCATAATAATTCATATTGGGTTTTTTAAATTTTCTTATCAACCACCACACTTTATTACTGTGGTATTCCACACAGAAAAGCAAAGTTTTACCTGTGGCTTAATATTCTGGTATGGACAGTAGCTTTTGATATACTTCATACATTTGTCATCTTCTAATGGATTTCCCCATTCTTCTTGTTCCTCAATTGTCAGTGGGAGATGAGTTTTCATCATTGTGTTCAAAACATCTACGAAAGGAGCCTTAGACGATATTAAAAAAATAAGTTGGCAAATAGGACAGAGGACTTTGAATGACTGAGCCAAGATGTTCTCAAACAAATAAGGGAAGTGAATTCCCAATTGCAATGTCTCCAGTCCTGAAACTTATGATCCATAAAAGGTCTGCAGCACCTCACCTGTAAAACCATGGCTCTGATCAGTTCTGGATCAGTGTTGCACAAGGCTCCTGCAAGAACTCCTCCAGCACTGGCAGCTTCTAGTGCTGTGAGTTTCGGCTGAGAAAATCCCAGTTTGTGCAGCAGTGTGATGCAAGCCTTAAGGTCATGGAGACCTTTGAGTTTATTCTGCTGACATCCATCTTTGTGCCAGCTAAGGCCTAGCTCTCCTCCACCCCTGAAATTTAAAGCAATTCAAGTTGGAGTCTCTTGGAAAGACATTACACAGCAAAGCTGCAGATAATGAAAGGACAGCAGCATCCACAGAATTGCAAAACCATCGTTTGTCTTCCCAATTAATTCTTCTTTTCTCTGTTTTTGGCTTTACTCTTCATTGCAGCTAAAAACCACAACATGCAAACAAAGTAAATCCGTGTGTGGTGATTGGGGAAAATCCTAAATGCATAAGGAAACTCTTTGCCCTTGTGTGCTTTGTTCTGGAACTCCCAGGAAAAGCACCTCTTTAGGAAATGACAGTGTCATTGTAAGCAACACAAAACCCGATAGGAATATTATCTTCTTGTACAGGAGACTATTAGAATATTTAAAACATTTTCAATACTTACACATCACTAACACTAGCATTTACTAAAACCAGTAAAATAGGATTTCTTAGCTCCACACCAAATTTGTCTTCTGTGTGCCTTAAATTCTGACACTGTTAGAAAGTTAGGTTTTGGTTGGTTTTTTCTAGTTTGTGAATTTCAAATACTGCTTGAAATCTTGTACTTTGTAATACAAAATTATGAAATTAATTTACATTTCTCTCTACACAAGCACAATTTTGGTTCTAAGCCACACAAAGTTTGTTTTCAGGTTTCAAGCTGAAAATGAATTAACTGACTAGTCTGCCATCTTTGGGTGAAGAATCCATCTTCATCTAGGCCTGGCTTGCATCAAAATATACTTAGTGTGGTGGGAGGAAGAACAGCACAATGTTTGCCACCAGGTACAGCAGACTGAATACATCTGTATGCTGCATTTGGTTTGGGACTGGTATTTCAAACAGTTTCTTGTTTCCCTCCCCCTTCCTTCCCCGCCCAAAAGTGATTCTTTGTTAGATCTTTACCTACTGAATTATTATCTCAGGGAAAATGTAAAGCCTATTGTACATGGGGGTTTTATAAAACTGGTAGATTTATAGCTAAACTGGAGACAGGATTTAGCCAATAAAAGAGCAAGAGATGCAGGTGAAAGGCTTTCTTGTTGCTGTGGAAGGTGAGTGGCTTTCAGAAGACACAGGCTGATCATTAGCACACAATGCCCTCAGAATGAGAGGGAGCTAACACGTCACTGCAATTTGAACGTGTTATCAAAATTTTTCTTGGGCAAAGATGAGACAAGAAGTCATGAGACTTCCAAAGATTTAAAAGTTCCATACAGCCATCCTGTAGGTTTAAGAAACCTAAATGCAGTATGTGCTGTTAATTATTTTTTTCCCTGAGATAAATTTTTTTTTTAAAAACTACTTTAAAAAATCTGAAAAGAAATGAATTAGGTACAGCTACATGAAAAAACATATTTCTGTGCCTCTTCAGTTGCACACCAAGAAATACCTGTATATCCTGCAGATTAAAATCTTGTGTTTTGTATTTGACTTACCTAACGTGGCAATATGCTAATATCCAACCCTCTTCAATTAATAACAGCTTCTCTTCTTTAAAGCTCATGTTCAAATCTATGCCATAAGCTCCATATACATGAACTAGAAGTGGTTTCCTGTGTAGCTCTTTAGAATTCCTATTATGAAAAACTGTAATTGGCACCAAAGTTTCATCCTAGAAAAGAAGGAGTATTTTTACAATAAGGGACATTGCAGAAATCTCAATGACACATGGCAATGAAAACTTCAATTATTTATTTTAAAATGTGGTTTTTTTTGATTACAGTAATTTTTTTCACTTAGAATGTACAAAGCACTCTTGGAAAATAAAGCACAAGACTGAGCCTCTGCTGTGTGGGCTCAGGGACGCAGAGTATAGAATTCATTTAAGTGCAACACCTGAGGAGTTTTTAAACTACCCAAGCACCCAACTCTTCCTTCCTCCTTTAACACCAAGAATATATGTTATTAACAAAATAGTTTACCACTTACCACAGTACAAACTCCATATTAACAACTCCAAATTTTTAAACTCAGGCTGTTAAAACCTTCCTTTCAGGATCTACACTGTGCAGCTGGTTGTGGGGTGTTCTTTGCAACAGCTGGCAGCTTTTTCACTTATCATGTGGAGTACAATGCCACACATCAACTAGCAATTCTAACTTCAACTATACTAAGATTCTTGACTCATCGGGTGCTGTTATCTCCTCTGGCATGCACAGGTTAATGGGGGAAAAAAATCACGACTTAATTCTTTCTTGTTCTCTATAGCACTGAAGAAAACACCCACTGTTTAGTAACTACAGCACCAACTGCTCTTTACGTTTTTTAATCTCTATTCCCTGCCAAATGCATTTTCTTTAAATGGGTGGGGAGGAAGGGAAGAATAAAAGGAATGCGAAAAGGACTGAAAAATCTTACCTTGCTTTTAGCTAGTAAACGTGTAGTGTGACAATTCGTGCTAATTGGTACCTCTTCCACAGCTTGTTCAATGAGATTATTTTCTTTAAATGAATATGCAAAACGCTTAGGGGGGTGTACTGGGGAGGAGAGCTGAAAATAGCAACTGCTGGTGGTAGGCTCAGGATGAGATTCCAATTCAAATTCACAGGCCCACGTAGGTAGCTGAGAAAACATGGCATTTCCAGTGAGACCCTTACACTGCTTCTGTGAATTTAGCTTAGTGTGTCCTTCAGAGAACAAGACTTTGGATATCAACTAATAATCTTCAGTTTGCATGTAGCACGATCTGTATTTCTTTTAAATTCAGTAATTAAACAGTCAAAAAGTGTAAGACTTTGGGAACTTTTCCCCTGAAGCCATTGGATAAAGTTCAACAATGAAATACAAAAGGAAAATAAATTCAAATTCCGTTTTAAATGGGCACTAGTGCAGATTTTTTAAAAATTAAAACATTATTTGAACTGATCCTGGATTTTTTTTATTTATTTATGTTTTAGATCCTATTTCTCCTTGCATTTCCAGTCCTACTTCAACATGTTATACAGCCAAGTCCATGTCAGTTGTTATGCTTTGGCTGAGTTAGCTCAGTAATGCTAAGCCACTGCAAAGCCCTTCATCTTAACTTTGTTCCTAGTGCCAGCCATTGTGAGGAACAAAACCTTTCCCTGGCACATTCACCTTCAGACACTTACTGTTATTATATTTAAGGTTTTAAACTCTGTTAAGAATGAAAGAAATCAAGATTCATTCTTTGAGAGCAGCAGGGACATAAGTCAAACCCTCTGAAAGGCCATTACTTACTTGGGTTAGGTTGATAGAGACTTTTGAAAATGCAACAAAAGTCCAACTTCTCCTGAGTAACCGCAGACCCTTTCTGAATAAATAAGCTATGACCCTGTTAAAAGGTGAAGATTTTGGAGACCTTGCAGTGTACTTTGTTGAAAACCCCTTCCTGTAGGAGTTTTATAGAATGCAGCATTGGCAGCTTGTTGCAATGAACCTGTGAGTAGTTCAGACTGTATTTTTCAGGCTAACAAATCAATTAAATATTTCATCTGAATGGTCTCCAGAAATCCTGGGTTTGAACTGAGTCCCATTGGTTTTAATCCACAAGTATTTACAACAACTAGAGAAGGAAAGAAATGCTTTGCACCAATTGTACTGCAATAGCAACTCTTCCCATTTATTATGGGGCAGTGTCCATGCTTGTCTTCTGAACATTTTTTTATGTGGGAGGGACACGGATGAGTGTAGCCAAAAATAGGCCCAGTAAATCCAAGTAGAGTGTTTAGGCAACCAAGTCCTATTTTACATTAGAAATCAGCTGTATTGTAAAAAGCCTGACTGTAATACGCTGAAGAAAGAACTGACTCATAGCATAGCTGCTCTTTAACTTTCTAAATGCTGCAATAAGCCACCACATGAAATTCTGAAGAACAGCCACAGGTAATACAATTAATCATAATAACAAACTTGGCAGTATTATAGTTTCCAAGCCACTTTTACTCTTGGAATTTATCTTTGCTTTCATTATAATGTTAAGTTAAAAAAAATGAAATAGTGCTGGAAAAATATTATGCTGCTTAAGTGAAGCTAAAACTTACCTTTATTGACTGAACTGAGTGTGAAACAAAAGAAATCACATTTAAGTGAAGAAGACCAGCGTTCTTCAGGAACATGATACAGTCATCACTGAACATCTCAAAGTCTACTACTTTGGTTTTCTGCTCCAGTGCATAGACTAACTGCCAGTTCTCCTTGCCACTGGAAGCTACTGGTGTCTTCATCAACTACAAAAACAAAATAAACAACCTTTTTTTAATAAGATGTATTAAGACTTACAAATGAGAGGTAGAGACAGACATACAGGTGATTTCACACAACATTTTTATTACCAAAAAATACTAATTTGTACTGAGGGGTGTTTGCCTGTCTAAAACTGGAGAGTTTTAAAACTCCCTTTACTTAGGCAAAGTGCAAGAACAATTCAGTAAGAGTTGGCAAAGATCAAGTCTCAAAGATTATAGAAGACTTTAATGCAGTAAGTGCTTTCAGCATGGCCAGCAGAATTGTAGATAGTTTGATTATACAGACTGAGATCACCAACTTAACTTTTAATACAAAGGAAATGATTGTTAAGGCATACTCATTTCTTGACGTTGTCAAAGGGGTCAGAAACAAATTGGCATGCCACAGGCAAGACTCCACCTAGCACTATCAGTCTTTCAATCCATGTGGTGCTCTGTGTAATTCTCTTAAAGCATTTCAGTAAGCTGTGAAGCACAGAATTAAAACCAGCCTTGCTCTTTGTATATGATCTGTAATAGGTATCCGAATGAATCCTATGAATCTACTTATCAGTTAAAATTACCTTATATTCTGCAGGTTCTCCGTATGTAGTAAGAATATATAACTCATCATTCCTGTGCTCAACGTGGTAAATGATCCCTTGTGTTCGTGCTTGGACAAGAGCAGGTGCCTTAAAAGGATGTCTACAGTCAACCAGCCAAACTTCTGAGGTTGTCTTGCTGTTACTGTTGATAGTGAGAAAACGCCTGTCTTTTGTGCAATAAATGTCTACAAAGAATCTGTAGGGAATAATTTAAAAAAAAGAAAAAGGTTAAACTTGATTAGTATGTTAGAAATACACTGGCTGGCTCAGAACCATGGGGTTCCCCATGGGCAAGGTAAGGAACAGTATGTCTGTAAGGAGGCTGGAGAAATTCCAGGCTACATGGTTCCCAAACCCAGTCCTGCTGCATTTGTCCTGGGATTCAAAAACCTGCAATCTCGTGTGTGGAACCTCAAATCTGCAAGGGGAGCAGTCCAGTTGCTGCCAAACTGAAAGCAGGTTTTTGTATCACTGAGATAGACTGGAGGCTCGTTGAGGTAGATAGGCTTTAAAATTCGGGCAAAATGCATAACTTTTTATTGAGCTTGTAACCATATATTTTTTGTAATAGTAATGGATAATTAAACTAAAATTAATAAAGGACATCATGTGGGGACAGCAATAACAAAAGTAAGAGCTATTACAAAGATAAATTGATAAAATGTCTAAGTGCTATTGACCTAACTTTGTCTGAAGCAAGTAAGACAAAAATTAATATTCTTTTAAAGAAGTACAGAGGCCTATATGAGACAAGGCAGAGTGTTCCAGTGATAAAGGAAGGAACTAGTTTTGGAACTGTCTAAGAAATAGGAAGAGCCACTGGTTCTAAATGCCTCAAAAATCCAGAAACAGAAAGCAGAATGATAACCAGAGTATGGCTGGATGCTAATATTACAGAAGTTCAGGCTAAAATACAGATTCAAGTTTCTGTGAGTCATCCTAATTAACTGGAATATCACATCTTGAGACATAGCAGTCTCTTTGCCATTTTGAGTCTTTAAGACTGGATGTCTCTAAAAGCAAAACTGTCCCAACACAAAGATTCAGATTTGTCCTAGGTTACAATGTAGGGTGTAACCAATAGTATGTGTTCTATTATCATCTTCACAAACTGTTAAAGCAGGTGGGGCAGTGATCCTTATCTCCTACTCATCCCTGATCAGGAGGCTGTCTCTATTTAATGGGCTGTCAGGGACCCATGCATGACCCATAAAATTATATCATCCCATTGTGAGATGCTTCACCCCAGGGGGAGGAGCCAAGCATTCCCACAGGGATATAATCTGGGGTTTGGATCAGCACAGGGAGCCCTTTGCCTGCTGGATTCCCAGAGGGACAAGAGCTACCACTGGACCTTCAGGTAAAGACCAGATCTACAGGATCACTGCTCCAACAGACCCATCACTCCAGGAGAACTGCAGCCACCATTTCATCGGACTGTTACCAACACCCTGACTGACAGGGTGTCACATTGCTTTCTGACTCTGTCAGTGGTTTCTTTTTGTACTGTTGCATTTATTGTTTTGTTTTTCCTAATAAATTGTATTTCTGACTTGGAGTCTCACTGGTTTGCTTTCAAACCAGCACAAGATTTCATCAAGAAATTGTAGGCTTGAGTGCTGTAATGTGCATTCTACTGATCACACGCATGACTGCAGTAATGACTTCTCTAGAATTCAAAATATTTGACTGGTGAAGAAAAGGATACTTAAGATAGCATTTTCCGTGCCTTCAATTATTTTCAGGTGGAGGAACTCCAGGGTTTTTGGTACTACTGTTTTTTCTAATTGCACCCTCTTGACATCTTCAGGAGGACAAGCACAGAGGGGGATCTAAATTCTGCAAGAAATCAGCCTCCTGTCTCTCTAACACCCATGAATTTGGCAAGAATGCGGCACTGCATTCAGGAGAGATTCTAACAGTTCAGCTCTGCTGACCTTACCTCTAAGAGGGTCGAGCTGAAATGCAGGTTACACTTCTCCCCAAGGACACTGACCTTGACACTACATTTTTTTGAATCTTTGCAGGGTTTTTTTTTTCAAGGAAGTCAAGAAATTGTCAGCTTCTAAAATAAATATTTGATTGCAAATAGAAGAGCTGGTGAGATGTAGAATGGAACTGCTCAGTGGCAATACAAAAGAGTATCTTGCCATCTCTGATGAAGAAGTGAGTTCAGCTATGAGCTACAGTAGCACATGAACCTTTAGAGTAAGTTTCTAGTAGATTTACTGTAATGACTGTGACCTTCAGAATTATGCCAACAGTTTCCCTGTGGGGAAGTCTCAGGTCAGTGCAACTTGATTTTCCAAAACTATGCATCAAATGCAGCTGGAACAAAGGGATCTTATTTATTCCATCTCAGTTGCAAATTTTTTTTTAGATGAAAGTATAATTGCAATTTCTTTACTGAATATGTAACTTGAATTAAGAATAAACACAAACATTTATGGAATGCTTTATAAATCTACCACAAGCTACATGGCTGAAAAACTAGTTCTGCACTCAGTTTAGTGAAGAGCTTTCTTGTCTTCCTAAACCACTGCTTAAAGAAAGGTTATTGAGAGGGTATTCAGTCAACAATAGTTCTATCTCTGGGAATGCTGTAATGATTTTGCTCATCCATTACCCAGAGCAAGGATTAGCCTGAACTTCTGTGTTTTTTTAAAAGATGTATCAGACATCAATAGCAGAGAAAACAAAATGAAATCTGCAGTCTGATTTACCCTGTATGAAACTGTCACACATTCATTAAAGGACACCCTGACCTGAGAGTGACCTTGACATTTATAAACTCAGCTGAACTCGTGAGGTAAGAGGGGAAAGTTAAATCTCTGTTGATCACATATCAAAAGGAGAACGGAGCACATTCCCAGACTGCATAAGTCCCTACTGACAGCAGAATACAACTTAAAAAGGCATTTTACCATTTGAAACATGATACAGAACATTCTGTTTTCTGAACCAGTTATATTTTACATATAAAATACTCTAAAATATGTAAAGGCTGTATTATATTTTAGGTAAGTGTTACCTTGCATCTTCTTCTGTATAAACTAACTTTGTATATTTCTGATGAGTGAAAGTGGTCATAAACACATTCTGGCATTTAAGGTTCTTCTGACTCGTGTAATACAGAACATCATTCGTAGCCCAGTCTGGGAAAAAAGACAAATGCATATCAAATTTGGAACAGTGTATACTATTACTGAGAGAAAATGGAGTGCCATGAACACTGGACCCAGTGCTGGAAAAGGTGGGTTGCTGCTGACATGAAACTGAGGACAGCACTTCTACATTCTGTGGGGGCTGGGGTAAGCTACAAAAAGCTTTCTTCATGTTTTCTCTGAATACCACAGAACAAGAATCTCATAATGTATTAAAGGAAAAAAAAAGGCAGAGTACAATGTGGCAAGGCCCAGAAAAGAGGAAGCTCTTGACCCTGTGGGTGTTCTGGAAGTAACAGGAAAATAAAATATGTGGCTGTTTGAGCAGAGAAACAAGAGGTTTACACAGAGTCAGTGAGATAATAAAGACAGTAGAGCTCTGCACTGCCACATGTGACTGCACACAAACCATTCAGAGAAAAGAGATGATGCACTGTGCCCCATGGGTATTGCTGAGATAAAAATTCTCCAGTTTTCTGTGTCTGTACACGTGTCCACCAGCATTAGAAATGTATAGATACAGGAACATTGTTATTCTGAAGTTTAGTAATCTGACTAATCCAGACAAATTACTGTCATCTCTGCTGCTCCTACAGCCACCAGAATGATGTTTAACACACTTAAAAAAGTTCTTGTATGCATAAATACTCATTTTCAATATGAAACCTGAGGAAGTCTCACACCAAAGCAACACAATTTGCTATCTGAACAGCGATGTGGCTCTGAAGTACACAGGTAGCTGAGGGTTCACTATGAAGAAAAGCCTTTAGAAGGGAAATCCAAGTTCTTCTATAGCCTAGACCTTACAAAAATCAAGATGTAAATTTTCAGGCAAATTGCTTACTGCGTGATATATACTCGATGACATCTAACAACATAACCCAAAATACAAGATGTGGCACACTGTGCACATACTACTGTACTCTTTTTGCTATATTCTTTAACATACTATAAAACCAGAAAGATTTTCCATTCACTTCAGTTTACCTCTCCTTCTTTTAAGAGCAATGTAAAGCTCTTGTGATATATTCTGAATGAACTGGCCCAAGACCTGGCTGATTTCATTGGGCTCTGAATTGTGCCCTAAATCCTAGATTCCAGTTGAAATTCCAGCCAATACTCACTAGTATGCAGTACTTTCACACTTTTCCAGTGAAGCAAAGTGCCTACAGCTATCAGTGACTTCTGTTGTAGCTGTAAAGTTTATCAGCTGAACATTTCTCCCTGTATCCCAAACAGCAATGCCAGTAAATTTAAGCAGCAAATTGAATTCAATACAAAAAATAAATGCCTGACTCTTCTAACATGTATAAATGCTTGCTTTTACACTGAAGGAAAACTGGTATCAAGCAAGAAGTCTCTTTCACCCACACCAGATAACTTGTAATTGTGCAGTGCAAAAGAAATCATAAATAAGAAACAATTCAACAGCTATAAAGATTAAATGTTGCCTATTTATTTATTTATTTAACACTTAAATATTATTTGTAGACTAAGAAAAATGTGTTGAATTCTGGTGGGATCCACAGGACATTTATAAACAACTCACCAAAGTTAAATACACTTGGAATTACTTTTTCCAAAACAGGAAAATGACCAAGTTTCATAACAACACAGGTTGACTCTTCAGAATTTACACTTTTTAAGCTGATGGCCATGTATCTCTGATCTGGTGAAATTCTGATCCGTTGAAGAAAGACATCAGGAAAGCCAAGTTCTTCAGTACTGAATAAAATGCGAGCATTTCCTTCACATTCTACATAAAAAAATAGAAAAAAAATTCCTGTAATTAATATGCTGTCAAAATGAATGGTGGTTATAATGCCTGGATTTAACAAATCTGCAATATTCAGAAGCATCTGAAATTCATCAACACCAAATATCTCTCTTGCAAGATACTGGCAAATGTTCTTGGTAAAATTTAACAAAAAAAATTTACAGTTCCAGGAAAAAAAAAAGTCCTGTAGTTATTACTAAAAATATGTTAAAAGCGTAGATCTTGGCCTGTAGTACATGTATTGAATTTTAAAGCTCAGACAGCTAAAGCACAGTTGTTTTTAATAAATACAATCAGTAATGTTTTTTCAGCCCTTCAGAAATAAAAAAGCATGAATGCTCTTTTCTTTTTCAAAATGTTAAGTTAGGGCTCTGAAAAGAAGTGTCTTCTCCCTTTCCTCTTAAGAAACTTGCCTTAATGTGAAGATGTACTACCCTCCAACTCTCTTCACCTCAGCTTTTTGGATTCAGAATTCTAGAATTGTTAATCCATCAATAAAGAATTTTATAAAAGTATTTTTAGTTACTCTGAGAAACAGAGCTTTAATGTAAGAAAAGGAACACTAACTGATGCATGCACACCACTTTTCAGAATCCTACCATATTAGGAAGAGAAATCCCTTACCATCATCTGCTTTTGAAAGAAATATGCAGCCATTGTCCTCAAAGTACACATTCTCTCCAAACCTTATCTGTTCAACACAAAACAAACATATTTCAAGTCCAACACACAGAAAGGCTGTTTCCTTAGAATCTGTGTATTAGGTCGCTGTTCTGCACACCAGAATTGTAGCACATGCAAATGACAGAACACAGCACACATATTTGGTACTGAAAAAGGAATCACACACATCAGAAAGGTTCTTTCATAGTTAGGGTACTTAAGCTACCTCTACCTGCTCTCAATTTAACAAAAGGCTCAGATCATCTGCAATGGCTCTTGCAACTTACAACGTCTTCTATTCTTTATCCAAAAGTCAAATGATTATTGGATCTGTACTTGCTTTTGCCCATGGAGAACTGAAGGTAAATTCACTATCATAACAGATATAAACTGTTCTAACACATGCTGTCACTATCCACTATTATTAAAATATTCAAAACTTCTACCATAAAATAATAACCAGCATT